GACGTTGGTGTGGGTGTTGGTGTGGGTGTGGTGTGGTGTGGGTGTGGGTGTGGGTGTGGGTGTGGTGTTGGTGTAGAATCCACCTACGCATATTACACCCTTAAGGTAAGTGCATTGTGTTGAGCCAATCGAAACTTGAGGAGCATTGGTGACACATTGTAGTAACAAGAGAAGATGTTTGCCATAGAATACGTCTTATCAGCAGAAAAAGCATGATTTTTAGTCGATAACAAATGTAATTTCGTTCTACCATAATTCCCACTGTTATCTTCTTCGTCATTTTTTTTGCTGTAATCTTCGAAATAAATAAAGAGACGACAACTGCTGTAATTCAGAAGTAATCGTTTTTCAAAAGACTCTACACTTGTGAGCTCCCGATCAAGTGATATTATTGCAGCTTACAAATGCGCACCATTTTACTCTTCGTCTTCATATTACATCTATATTTAAGTTATACCGAATCATATTCATACATACCTTACTTTCATAAATGTATTCTTTCTAATTGTACTATCCCTCTTTCTTTTGGTCAGCAATTACAGATACCATCAACGTGTAGGAGCAATCCTAACCAGGCTTTTACCGGTTGCCAGTTTACATTATCCACGGATTTATTTAATCAATCGATCAAGATTCGCTTTCACCCCATTCAAAGTCGTGATCCTGTGTCCGCTGACTATAATTATTCATATGGAATAGTCCTTAATACAGAGAAAAGCAATGTACAATATACCGTCACATACATCTGTTATAAAGGTGACTTGTGTGAGATTGGATATCTTGAAAGATTGTTGCAATATCGAATCAATATAAAATATGTGGCAATGTGGCGTCTTTTAGATTCGTACTTTGTGAATGCTGAAATTGCTCATAATCTACAATGTAACAAGCCTGTGACTGATAATGACACAAACATGATTACTGAAGCAATAGACCAATGTAACGGAGGTTTATGCAGAGCCTATGTTGATAATGTTAACCCACAGCTATCAGACGCTTCATGTGTGCCAGATAATGTCCATCGTCAAATTTATCTCAAACAAGTTTGGTACGCTAATTGGATAGACAATAATATTCTTTATTATTGCAATCAAAATGAATGCAATGGAAACCAATCATTTAACAAAATCAAAAAAATTTTAGATGACTATAATTTAACTATGGTAGAAAATTGGGTCGCTCCACCACCTACAACTACAACTCCCAGATCTTCGTCAGCAAATACTTCAACATACTTTAGCTTGTACTGTTCTCTCTTTTCCTTAATGCTTATATACATACATAAATAATTTTCATCGCACCGCTACGACATCGTCATTATTTAGTCTTTTCGCTCGCAGTTATAAACAAGCACCATAATCAAGAAATCTCCTTTTAAATAACTGATATCTGTTATAAAGACGTTGAAAGTAATAAATAAACTAATTATTGTCAATTAAAAAGAAGCGTGAGTATATGTGGATGTTGAGGGTGTGGATGTGGGTAGATATAGGTGAGTGTGGGTGTAGGTATGAGCGTGTGTGAGGTTGTAGGCGTTGGTGTGATGTGCGTGTGACTGAGACTGGGAGTATACAACAGACACGTACGAATAACCTGAATAATGTCGAAAGTGAAAATGCTGATGGTAATTTGTTGAAAATAAAAATAGCGAACGCAATATAGTCGAAAATAAAAGTGTCAGAAATGAAAAATGTCGAAAAGTAAAGATATCGAGAAACAGACTATTCAAAGTGGAACTGTAAAAAGAAAACGTTTCTATCGTATGAAATCACAGGAGTTTCGTATTGTTGTAGAAGGATGTGACTGTGTTGTCTTTATCTTACACCCACATCCTCAAGATAATACATATACATATGTATGTACACAGAAGACTTTCAAAAAGATGTTTATGTTTGTCTTCTCTTATGAAACATTTCTTTATATAAAAGTAAAAGTAAGAATAAAAGAGGTAGAATGTCGTAGTATAAATCCATTGCATGAAAGAATAAAAATCTACGCTATTTTGACTTCCATCGATTTTAATGTTGTTGAACGTGACCTACAAAGTTATTCAAATAAAAATATCACATTTTTATATATTTTCATGAAGCTTTATTAAAATTAAATATTCAAAAGGAAACAAAGAGTGATAACAATTTTTCTTTAATCAATGATTTACAAAATAAAATAAACTTCCTTTTACTGAAAAAATCATTTTTACAATAAGCAAAATTATATTTAAAAAGAAAGAAACTAGTGTTAAAACTGAAATGATTTTATTGAATACATGGTTTATATTTTTGAATTCGATGATTAGAAGAATCAGTAACATAAATATTTCCTTCAAGATCCAGTGATAAACCATGAGGCTCATCTAATTGATTTGCTTTTGTTCCTCGACCATGTCCACCAACAACAACTGAACCTTGTGTATCTCCTTCATTCCAACGCATGACTCGTTAATTCCTAGAATCTACTACAAAAATTTGATGCAAATGATCAACAATTACTCCTCGAGGAAAAGATAATTGATTAAGTTCACTTCCCTGATTGTTTCCACCAGCAATAACAACTCCTTCTTTTGCACCTTTTTCCCATTTCAATACACGATGATTCTGAGAGTCTGATATATAAAGAGAATAATATTCATCAACAAAAATATAATAAGGTCTATTGAATTGATTGAGATTATTTCCTTGTCCATTTCCACCGGCAACTATTGTTGCATTTGTGTCTCCATCTTTCCATCGTCTTACTTCATGCTTCACAAAATCAGAAGCATAAATGACACCATTTTTATCCATTGTCAAACCGTAACAATTAATATTCGAAATGAGAATTTGTGAATTCGTTTGATTTTCACGAAACCATCGTATTACCTGCTTCTTCTCTTTATCACAAATGATGAAAGTATTCTTTTGTTTGTCAAGAATTACGCTTTGTGGCTTAGACAATACAAAAGCGGGACGACTTCCTGGTGTATTCGAGCTTGCAATGACTGTACCATTATTTGAACCATATTCCCATGCAACAATACGTTCATTCATAATATCAGCAATAAAAATAGTTTTGTTGCTGTCAATACAGATAGCTTCAGGTAAATAAAGTTGATGAAGTTGATATCCTTGTTGTCCTCCAGCAACTGTGATTCCCTCTTGTTCGCATCTGTCATATTTTAATATTTTTTTGTTCTAAAAGTGTATAAAAATCAACGAAAAACATAATTTTTAAAGTTGTATTTTCATTATTAAGTAATTTATGGTAAGTATTAGTGGATAGGTGATTGTCAGGAAAGAGAAGACAGAGTCTCATATCTGCATTAATGGCACTTTATTTTTTGTAATATTTTGTTCAAATGTTACAATATTTTTAATATCTGCTCAATAAATTAATAATTTATGAGTTTAGATATGAGTAAAACTAGTTATATAAAAAAAAATTTTAAAATTACGTAGAAAAATCTTTATTTTGTCATTTTTCAGATTAAATATTTTATAATATATGTATAATATTGTTTCGTTTCATACTGAAATATATGACGTCTTCAATCTTAACAGTTAAGTAATAAATATATTTAAGAAGTTTGTATTGATCTAATAACTTAATGATTTTGTTCTGCGCAGTTTCAAAAAAGTGGTGAACTCTGTAGAAAGACTAACACTGTTGTGCAAACTATAGATATTAAATCTCTTTAAATAAATTACAGGGCTTTTCAAAAGTTTTTACTATCCTAAAACTAACTCATCAATATACAGAGCACAATTCCGAAGAAAAAAAAACAAGCAAATTATTGAGAAATAATCTTTTCTTGTTGAAACTATACCTGTTGTTATTGACATCTCTACTGTTGTTGTTAACATTTCTTCTGCTGTTGTTGATATATTTACTGTTGTCATAATTTGTTCTGTTGTTATTTTTGTTGCCGCTGTTAATATATTTGCATTATTTGTTTTTTTTTTGTTTTAATGATAACCACTGGAATAGTTACAACGAAAATAAGAATGATAATACAAATAATGATCAACAATAATTTCTTTTTTTCTAGACAATATTTCCATCTAAAATAAACAATATTCTTGATTATGTATCACAACAATATACAATGAACACATACAGGGATCTTGATTGACCAGTTGGTGTTTGTTCATCGTTCGAATTAATTAGTTCAGGCTACAATAATATATTAAATTAAAAGTTATTTCATGTTATTTTCAAGAAAATTTTTTTTATAACAAACATGTATCGTATTTCGATTGAACATTGACATTATATTCACATTTAAAATTGAATGTATACTTTTCAAAATAAATAATCTAAAATATCGGAATAAAAATGAAATTATCATTTAGAAATTTTTGTGTTCTAACAGAAACAATAGAATATCATAAGGTGTAAAAAAAAACTATTTTCATTGATAAAGAAAAAATACTTAACTAAGAATAAAATAATGAAAAAAGTAAAGGTAAAGCTCTACAATATGCTACTGAAAACTGTTGATAATGATAATGATATTAATGTAAAATATTTTTATTGAAACATTTGCAACAAACACAACGTTGGAACTGACAAGGGAGCATATTTGAGTGTACCCACGGAGATGAAGTTTAAAAGTATTATGTCGTGTAGTGACCATGTTGAATATCTCAAATATTGATATTTTAGCTGCCCGTTCTAAGATCGAAAAAATAGCACTATTTCACATTTTTGTTATATGCTATATCCTATTGTCTGATATCACGTTTTAAGGAGATATTTTTCGAAAACTTATGGAAAACATAGTTTTATCCAGCGAGAATACTGCATAAATGGAAACTTTTATACGTTTTATGTGTCCATTTTCCTGAAAAAACTGTATTTTTCACAAGTTTCCGAAAAATAACTCGTTAAATCGTGATATCAGACAATAGGATATAGCATATAACAAAAATGTGAAATAGTGCTATTTTTTCGATCTTAGAACGGGCAGCTAAAATATCAATATTTGAGATATTCAACATGGTCACTACACGACATAATACTTTTAAACTTCATCTCCGTGGGTACACTCAAATATGTTCCCTTGTGAGTGATAAATAAAAATAATAAACTTGTTTCCTTTTTCTAAACTGATTTATGAGCAAAATCCCACGCGATGACAGGTAATATATGCTGTAAATACAGTAAAAGAAGGATATGACAACAATCTGTTTTAAATAAAATTTTATGTTATTTTGTATTTAGTTGGCATAAAAAACAGAGATATTGACGATATCTCTTATGAGAGATGTATTTTATGACTGATTCTAACATACTGAGTGATTTATTTTGTTGGGAACTAATCTTTATTTTACAGATTAGATCGATGTGAATAAAAATAATGTTGATTTCTATTATCTCATTGGCTTCATATTGTTTTATTGACAGAAAAAAAAGAATTTTCATCAAAATATTTCTTACTGTTTAATTAAATTGAAGAATATAAATATGAGAGTATGAGTGATGGCAATACCTACATCCTCACGATTATTCCATATTTCATCAAACAGTACTACAATAAAAATACATCTCACTATTAGACATATGGAATGTTGAGTCTGGTCGAAGATTCCGATTTCTTTGTTGTCGTACAGCTTTCATTTATTATCAGAAACTTATGATTTTTTACCAATTATAGTATTGATAAGGTGTTTGTCTGTATCATACTTTTATTAGGTTTAATCGCTGTAATTCGTAGTATCTATTTGAAACAGCATAATATTCATTTCTCATACGTTTATTCGAAAACAACTGAGTGAAACTGAAAGTAAAATATCATGGTGTAGTATTACGAATAAATTTTTTATTTAACATATAACTACATAAAGTAGTAATCGCATGTTCATTTTCAATAATCTTATCTGAATTATTGTAAGATCCTTTGAAAATACTTCCTAAATCGTTGATTGTTAGGTGTGTGTGTGAGTTAAGAGAAGAGATATCCACATCCTCAAGTGAATGTAAATAGTTAAAAATTAAGTTTCAATTAAAATAACTCCTTTCTTTAGTTTTTATTAGAAATAAGAAAGATATTTTCTGTACGATAAAAACTACAAAAATCTTTCATTGTATTAGAATTTTAATTGTTTTCTGCCGATAAAAGCCGTATTTTATCGCCTGCAGTAGATAGATTAACATACAACATCCAAGGTAATCGACTGTTCGGTGATGTTATATCATCAATAACCACACTATATTCCTTGGTTGTACGCTCATTTTTCAGAATTACCTCAAGATTTTTACACTTTATAGTTAAAGTAATAGTATCATTTGTCATAAAATATCGTTCACCAGTGGGCTTTAGTCTTCCATGTCTAGCATATGTTCCATTGCCAAACCAACCTGATGCAGGTGTGTAATAGCTGTAGGTATCGTATGGATTAAGTATGTCATACGGGTTATTGTGTGGGGACCTAGCGTAAGAAGAAATGCCAATAAACAGTGCGCCATTTGTAAACATTCTTTCGATTCGTAGCCTTATTCTATGCACTCCATCAGAGTAATAATTTTTTCCCCGAACTGCTGCCCCGTTTCCAGATATTGCCGTTTGATCCCGTTCAGCTACTTGCATATTTTCTGTGATAATAATAGGTCCATTGATTCTTCCAAAGGAATCAGATACGGTTGGCAGTGTAGCTTGTGTTGTAGTTGTGACTGGGGGTGTTGTAGTTGTGACTGGGGATGTTGTAGTTGTGACTGGGAGTGTTGTGGTAATATCTTAAAGAAATAAATGTCTACAGATTTTTCTGTCTACAATACAGCAAATAAAGATTCGACTGTACCCGAGCATGGTTTGTTTACTGTAAATTGATTATTTGGACAAAAACATGTATAGCCAGATGGGTTCGTAGTTGGGTCTTCAAAACAATATGCACCATAACCAGCACCACATATATTTGGTCTATCGCACAATCCTGAAAAATAGTCATCATTTTATATACTTTTCCTGAAATAGTGCAGTGAATTCTTCTCACATCAGCGATTCATCGCGTATGTAGATTAAAGATCTAATTATACGTCCTCGTGACAAAATATCATCTAAAGAATAGAATACGCAATATTTAACAATACTTACTACATCGTGCGTTAACTGTATACTGTCCATCAGGACATGTACAAAATATCATTCCAGAAAGTCCCATATCAAAACATGTATAATTCGTGTGAGTATTGAACTGATTATCAAGTTGGCATACTGAACAATCTAAAATGCAAAAAAGAAGTTCAGAGATAAACAAATTAAACAAATCGATACTACTAGAATTTATTTTCTTTTACAAGAAAAGTTTCTCGGCAAAGAGTTGAAAACTGAAAAATAATAGGTTATCTCACTTGTGTAATGATAATTCATAAGTTTTCAGTGGAAAGCTTTAGAAAATACAGTAGAAGCAAAATTTATTGCTTATTATATAATTAGTTGATGTTAGGAAATCTGAATGCTATCAAGATGAATTAGACTTTCTAGAGTTGAGATCTGAGTGACATATCTTTTTTTATTTACGCATATAAATTTACCTTGCTTTGTCCCGTCGTTGATATCAATATCAATATCCAGTCCAGATACCGATAAAAACGCAATATTAAATAGTACTACTAAAAATGCTTTCATTTTCTTTAACGCCTTAAAATATGTACGATTAGAAAAACTTACTGCTTTTATAATCCTGCATCAAAACAAGAGGACAGGTGCTGTTTTTCTCTTGTGATTCTCGATGAAAGAACGTTTTTTTATCATTTTGTAAAAAATAATATTGCGATAGATATTATCGAAACATTGGAGGTGTATGTTTGAAAATGATTCAATGCATTCTATGAGTGTCCAGAAAAATCATTCTATTCCCAGAAAGAGAAATAAAATCTTGATGCACTATTTTGATATTGTGTGGTAATTGAACGAAATGTTTTATAGTTGAAACAAGTGCAGCCAACGATATATTATGAATTTGAGAAATAATTAAACGATTAATTAATATCGTTTCTTGAAAGTATATAAACAAAATTAGGTAAAGGTGTATATAAATGGAAAAATACCGATAAGATAGATCCAAATT